GTCTCTGGGTAGACTGACCGCCTTGGTCCTTGGGGGCTGGGGAGTGGCTGGTCGCCTCCAGCCTATTGTCTTCTTCCCTTCCTGCAGTGAAGGGAAGTGTTACCGTTCTTTGCAAGTGCTGTGATACGGGAAAGCTGGCAAGCAGTGTCCTAGAATGCCACCCTTAGTCACTCACTTCGGGGGCAGAACAGCATCCGCTTAAGGGTTAAAGGCTAAAGGCTGCAAAGAATGGGACTGTGCCAGGGAGAATCCCAAACCCATCAACCTTCCCTTCAGCTGTGGCTGGGAGCAAGCTGGACAGCAGAGCCCCAAGGGAGACAGAAATTCTGTGGTTGAAGAATGTTCCCCAAGTGTGGTGCTTGGGAAACACCAAAGTGGAAGGCAGGCCCAGTTACGAAAATTGAAGCGGGCCAGTAGATGACTGAACCCCCACTCTGCCCCATCCTCCTCTGGGCTGACAGAATAAATACTCCATGGTCCCAGCAGGCACTGGAGTAACACTCCACAGCTGACCTTGGGGTAACACTCATGGCCCCGGCTGACACTGGAGTAATGCTCTATGGCCCTGGCTGATCCTAGGGTAACACTCCATGGCCTCAACTGATATGAGAGTAACATCCCACAGCCCTGGTTGACGCTGGGGTAGCACTCCACAGCCCTGGTTGGCGCTGGGGTAGCGCTCCACAGCCCCGGATGATGCTGGGGTAACACTCCGTGGCCCTGGTTGATGCTGGGGTAACACTCCGTGGCTCTGGATGACATTGGCGTAATACTCCATGGCTCAGGTTGACGTTGGAGTAATGCTCCACAGCAGTGGCTAACTCTGTTGGTTGATCCCCAGTAGCCGTGCCCAATATTCCTTCCTACCAAAGCCTCAATTCTGATCCAGTGGCAATATGCCCAGCCTCAGGGGATGAGTCAAGATCAGCCAAAGCCTGCTATGGCAATCGCATTACCCTTGCCAGTGACAGGGTGATGGTGACCCTGTGACCTAGCTCTGGCTAGTGGCTACAAAGGAAGTCTGCTGAAAGGCGGGAAAGTTTCCCCCTGAAGTGCAATTAAAGAGACAAGCTCTCAAGAAGACTGCTCTGTTCCCTGCCCCCTTTCCTTCTACCCAGGCTACTCCAGGATACAGACATAGGTTCCCAGCTGCAGCAGCCATCTTGAGATCATGAGGAAAGGACAAGAGAATGGCAGACACTGAGTGGGACTCAGCTGTGGCCAAGTCACTGACAAACCCATGATGTGCTGACCGTCTTCCAGGCTTCTCTCAAAACGTCAGGTAAGTAAGGACACTTGGGTATTCTGTTACCTGCCATCAAAAGCATATTTACCATCCAGTACTTTTCCTGTATGTTACCATATTTGCTCATAACTACATAGGAGTTGTGACCACAATATTAAAAGAGAGGAAGTGGAAGAGGTGGGATGACAGAGCTGGTAAATGGTGGGACCAGGCCTCAAACTCTCTTCTGTTTGATGGAAAACTTCAGGCATCATCTGCTTTGCTCTGTATAAATTCATTCAGCTTACAGATTCCCCAGCCTCAGGGGCCATGCCTCAAATCTTCAAAGCCAATGTGGGAAAGTCCAATCCAAAATGACAAAATATGTCTTTGAAAGGAATGCCCCAACCCTTGGCTTATTCTAAACATGCTGCTATTATTATAAAGCTCTCCCAAACTGTAGCAAGAAAAAAAAAAAAAAGAGGACAAAAAAAGAGTGGAGAGAGAAAGTGAGCATGCCAGGAAGTCATTGAAAGGAAATTTTTTTTTTTTTTTTTTTTTTTTGGAGCCAGGAAATGTCAAGGAAACAAATGTAGCTATGATTTACACTGCATCTCCAGTTGTGCTGTGGGATTCAAAAATAGGCATCTTAATTAAAACTGACAGCAGAGAGCAGCCTGACAAGTAGAAAAACTGCTAAGGAGGCTGAAAAATCTCCATTTGACGCTGGGTTGACAGTATTTAACCAATATATAGAGTTGGTAAGAGAGAAGGAAAGTGCGTGAATTTTACCCAAGTCTCTAGGCTTTTCTTGTTTTCAAACTGATTGGTCTGGACAATGGAAGGCCAACAGCCAACAATAAATCCATTGTAAGCTGGCGTGGTCTCTTCTGAATATAACTAAATATTTCTTTAATCCTTGCATTCCATTTTTTACTGTATTATGGAGGCCATGTATTCTAAAGTTTTAAGCTTTTATAACATTGTAACTATAGGTGTAAGATGGGGGATTGATTACTTAGGCAGCCTATTTAAAGCACTTTAAAAGGAAAGTATTAGAATTTTTTGCATGAATTTTTTTAGATCGTACTGAAGATATGCTCGTTCATGGCTCTTACTCAGAAATCTTGTTTATCTCTTCCTTTTGTGCCGTGGGAAGGGTCTTTAATGATCACCAGTTAACATGAATATTCCTTTTTTGTAGCTTCTGTATCTTCATTATCAGGCACATCAGCCAGTCCAGAAAAACTTACTTCACAGTTCTGTTCCCAAGGGAACAAAGAGAGTGGGTCCCATATTAACAGTGGCTTTTGTTGGCTTTTTTCCCCCTGACATTAAAGCCATGTATGGTTGGCAAGGATGTCTTTTCTTTAATTTGGACATGGTTTCTGCCTCTGGTTCTCTGAAAGCAAGTTTGTTGGTAGGACAAGCTGCCCGCACACTCACATACATAACTACTTCAGCACTGGCTTAAAAGAGGCTTCACTGAGAACAAATCAGAACTGAAAAACAGCTTCAAGTACAAATGTTCTTTCCTTACAAGATTTTCAGTTCAATACTTATTTGGCCTTCATATCTAATGGCTTGAAAAAGTATCTATACATCTAATTACAGTCAATTATTGACTCCCCATATATGCCTCCCACAGCGCTCTCCTTCCAGCCAGGGAACTCACTGTCACCAGCCAGGCTATGTACACTTCCCATCCAGTGAAATTTTCAAGAGTAGCTCCTAACAGAAATAGACTGGTACCCTGGGAGAGAGAAGCTGTCTCACAGTGGGCACCCAAACAACCAGAAGTTAAACCCCAAGTGCATTCATAATGCACCATCTCCGACTCTCCACTGGCGGGAAAATCTGGCCAGTTTACACTCCAGGCACAGCACGCACCTCAGATACCGAGCTCCGATTAGTGAGTAGTACTATGTGTGAATGGCACAGCAAATTCTCCAGAATCCAGGATTCCCTGGATTCTAGATTTTTCTTTTGCCTTTCTAAACAAGAATAGAGAGAGAGAGAAAGAACACTGCTCTGTCCAGTAACTCATTGTTCAAGCACTGTAGTTCACCCAGGTAAAATTCAGTGCCAGCGGGGTGGAAGAGGAAGCCTGGGAGAGCAACTGCACAGTCTCTCCCCACTGAAGTTCAGGACTTAAGAAGCAACACTTCCCAGCAGTGGCTGCTTGCGCAGGATGTCCCTCCCTCCTAAAATAGACACAATTTGTAGTTCCTTGTAAAATGATTGTACTAGGATTTCTGAGTTACTCAATCAGGGCTTTCGGTTTATTTTTACCAAATAAGAGAGGCCTCCTATGAGAAAGAGCAGCCGCAGATGTATCAGTAACAGGTAGAAACTTTACTGGCCCTCCATAAATCAATGCAACATCCCCCTGGTCTCCAGGGATTTGCCAAAAGATAATGAGCAGTAATTATAAAACCATCGCAAGGAGATGCCAGCAGGGCTCAAAGACAGTTCTGAAGTCTGCAGACCCTTCCAAGGGGAAAATAGGAAATCATTTCATGAAGCAGCAATTTTACCCAGAACCCGGCTAGAAGAGCTGCAATACTAGCTTAAGTGACTAAGAAACAGGTGGGGTGAACAAGAGGTGTGGTACACAGTCATCTTCTCCTACTTTCCTTGAGTCCAAAGGAACTCAACATTGGAAACACAGCTGGATACATTAATAAAGATCCCAGCTGGGCAAAGTCTAGGGAATTGAGGGTGAACAGGCCAGTCCTCCCTCTCCCCTACCTTGAAACACTGCCTCTTTTCACACAGCAATTAAGGATGCCCCCTTGGGCAGTGGCCTTGGGGGTCTGGGGCAGCCATCTATCCCAGGAGGAGGAGGAAGGCTCCAGAAGAGGCTCTGGCCAGCCCGCCAGGCCTGTCCCAGTTCTGTGGGGAGGGGAACTACCACACAAAAGGTGGAGGCTTTGGCCAACATGTTGGGTGAGGGCTTTGAGGACCCAAATGTGGCCCTTACTTTGAAGACACACAGCAGCAATCTTATCCCTTAGAAGTGTCACAGAGCCTCATATGAGCTTTCAAGTAAGCTGTGGAAGTCGCGATTCCCATTTATGGGATGGGAAACTCAGGATGTCCTGTGAGCCCACATCCCAGATGGCACCATCTGAAACCAGAATCCAGCTCCTCTACCCCGGATTTCTTCTCCTTCACCTCATCCTACCAAGTCATGTGGGCGCCCCCCACCCCCATCCCCCAGGCCTCAATGCACAGGTGATGGCTCAGCCTTGGGGCCTGAGCTGCTGGAGACACACCGGGGCACCGCGAGGCCCAGCCCTCGGGCCTGTCTGAGGCTTCCCTCCACCGTGACAGCCACCTCACCAAGTGACCAGCGTTAGTTGGGAACAGTAGCTGCTACTGGTGACAGTCACTACACACCTCGCACAAGCCTCATCTTTATCTTGGCCGCTGGCCGCCAACGGGAAGCAACGTGTCCGAGAGCACACCCCGTGGAGACTGACTCTAGGTCTGTTACTCCAAAGTCACTGGTCTCTCCTTTCTCTTTCCTGCGGCTGACTGCCTGGCACGGGACTCTGAGGCGGCAACGGAGACCGCAAAATCCCTTGGGGCCAGCACCCCCAGCCTCCACCTTGGCGCAGACGCGCCCGTCTCTGGGATGACCCAGAGCGCACGCAGCCGGCGGGCGACCCTCCTCCTAGAGACCGGCACGCTGCCCCTGGCTCGAGCGCACGGCCACCCCCAGCCCGACACAACCCCCGAGTCCGCCCTCGATACGCGCCCCGGCGCTCACCTCTCGCAGCAGACGCTCCAGGTGTGGCTCGGCCCAGGCGGCCCCGGAGCCGGGCGGCCCCGCGCGCCGCAGGAGCTCCCGCTCCTCCTCGAGCGCCGCCACCCGGCCCTGCAGCGCGGCCGCCTGGACGCCCAGCAGCAGGCAGGCGGCCGCCGAGCCCATGGAAAGCAGCAGGCACAGCGCGCTCACCGCCCGCGACCCGGCCGTCGTCGCCGGGCGGCCCCCACCGCGGCCGCCGCCCGCTGCGTTGCCCTTCCCTGCGTCGCCACCGCCACCAGCGCTCTCTCCTGGGCCCATGGCGCGTTCGTCGCGCGTGGATTCTCCGAAGGGACGATGCTGAGCTGGGGCTGAGGTTGAGCGCGTGAGGAACAGGCGAGACAGCCCGAGGCGCGAGGTCCGCCGGGCGCGGGGCTTCGCCTCCGGGTAGCCGCGTATTGCGGCGCACGCCCCCCCTCACCGCCGCCAACTCCTCCACAGCGGCCACTTTGGGCAGTTTCCTCTATGCAAATAGACCCTGCCAGAAAAGGAGCCGGGACCCACCCAGGGGAGGAGCGGCCGCGCTGGCCCCGCGCGGCGAGGGGGCGGGGGCGAGGAGGGAACTAGCTCCTGGGAGCCACCGGTCCGCGCCAGGCTGATCCCACGCGCAGCGCGCACCTCCGCACTCACCCGCCCCGGTCGCCGGCACCCGCCCCCGCGCCCGCACCTCTGCGGCTGCCCCAGCCCAAGTCAGCACGGAGGACCCCAGAGGTCGGAGGGGCGCCCAGCGACCCCTCGCGCCTTCTGCAGCCCACCCCTGCCTGGAACACTCACCACTCGTGCCTTAGGAACATTCCTCTAAACTTGGGAATTAACCTTTCTGACACTTGTAAAAAGTTCAAAACTTCAAATCCTGTGGAAAACTTAGTGCGTCTGTTCTGGGTGGTGGATTAGCGCCGCTTCGTGGCGGAAAGCGACCTCTGCGCACTCACATTAGGAAACGCAGGGTGAGATTGAGCCAAGTAGAAATACGCCTCTTAGAATCTCCTCTCACGAGTTCTTAATGTGCCAGACATCGGTGCGGGAAACAAAAATGCTAAGACTCTGTTTCTGGCCTAGAGAGGGCTTGTGAGAAAACTGATACTATAACGAATGGCAAAGATTCAGAAAATGAATTCCAAATCTTGTTAAACTGATGACTTAATTCTGTATTAGAAACACAACTTGGCCAAATATTATGATCTACTATGCACCACACTTAACCTGTACTGCGATTCTGCTGCAAATTTAAATCACAGGGCTGAGGCAAGAAGGCTCTGGCGTACAGCCTGGGTCCACAGAACAGAATGAGTGGCACTAACAAGTCTTGGCAGGAAAGGGAGGAACTGCTGGAAGTCAGGCTGGGTTCAGATTCCTACCAGGCATATTCACGTCCTAAATGGGTCCCAGGTAACACTTCCGCTAACTCCTGTAATTTCTAAATAAAAACAACAAACCAGTAGCTCAGATCTTTGTGATTTGAGTAACCCCACAACCATTTTGTATTTTTTTTTTTTTAGAAAAATACATTATATCTTCCCTCTGACTCTCTGGATATCTTCTGGTTGTCTAATTTATGTGGATACTCACCTTTTAGAATTGTTGAGTGCCTCTGGCTAACGTGTTCCTTTTCCTCCCCTTAATTCAGAGGGGAACCCCTGAGATGGCTAGATGGCTGGGGGTTACGGTTCTATAGAGATAGCCTTGGCTCTGTGCTAAAGTCTAGTGTATGCCCAGTAGAATGAAAAGTACTTGTGCTAAGCAAACTTTTTTTTTTTTTTTTGAGACGGAGTTTCGGTCTCGTTGCCCAGGCTGGAGTGCAATGGCGCGATCTCGGCTCACCGCAACCTCCGCCTCCTGGGTTCAGGCAATTCTCCTGCCTCAGCCTCCTGAGTAGCTGGGATTACAGGCATGCGCCACCATGCCCAGCTGATTTTTTGTATTTTTAGTAGAGACGGGGTTTCACCATGTTGACCAGGATGGTCTCGATCTCTTGACCTCGTGATCCACCCGCCTCGGCCTCCCAAAGTGCTGGGATTACAGGCCACCGCGCCCGGCCTAAGCAAACTTGACAGTCTATTCTGAAAAGAGGCCAACGCCCTCTTGCAAGTCAGCACTAAATTCTTTTTTTTTTTTTAGATGGAATCTCACTCTGTCGCCCAGGCTGGAGTGCAATGGTACGATCTCGGCTATTGCAACCTCTGCCTTCTGGGTTCAAGCGATTCTCCTGCCTCAGCCTCCTGAGTAAATGGGATTACAAGCGTGTGCTACCGTGCCCAGCTAATTTTTATATATTTAGTAGAGATGGGGTTTCACCATCTTGGCCAGGCTGGTCTTGAACTCCTGACCTCGTGATCTGCCCACCTTGGCCTCCCAAAGTGCTGAGATTACAGGCATGAGCTACAGTGCCCAGCCGAGCACTACATTCTTACACATAGGTTAACGGCACACCACCTACTTATGTTAATGTTACTGCATGTATTGTTCACCATGTCCTCTCCTGTGTATTGAAAAAGCCAAGCTCACTGGCCCCTTGGGCCTCTGCCCTTGCCTACCACCTCACTACCTGCATTCCTGCTCTCAGATCTTTGAACGGCAAGCCCCTCTTCATCCTACTGGTCAAGGTCCTCAACCTCATTGCTTCTAAAAGACCTTCCCAGACTGCCCAATTTAAAGTGGCCAGATCCTCAGTCCCCTCAGGATTAATCAGGGAATTGGGGCAGCTGAATTAAGATGGAAATGCTGTCAGCCGGGCGCGGTGGCTCAAGCCTGTAATCCCAGCACTTTGGGAGGCCGAGGCGGGTGGATCACGAGGTCAAGAGATCCAGACCATCCTGGTCAACATGGTGAAACCCTGTCTCTACTAAAAATACAAAAAATTAGCTGGGCATGGTGGTGCATTCCTGTAATCCCAGCTACTCAGGAGGTTGAGGCAGGAGAATTGCCTGAACCCAGGAGGCGGAGGTTGCAGTGGGCCGAGATCGCGCCATTGCACTCCAGCCTGGGTAACATGAGTGAAACTCCGTCTAAATAAAAAAAAAAAAAAAAAAAAGATGGAAATGGAAATGCTGTCTACAACTCATTCTAAAAGACAAAAAGGAAAATAACGTGTCCATTAGGGTCCTGGAAGAATAGATGGCATCCTCAGAGAGGGTGACTCAAGACAGCCTGTATGTAGTGCCACTTCACAAAGTAGAGACCACAGGTGCTCAGCAGGGGAGGCCAAAGCAGCACTTTGGTGGTATTGACAGTAGGAGGCCATTACCATCCCTAACTATGAACCCTGGGGAACTTGGAGCTATAGAAGAGGGCTGCTCCACAGCAGCTGTGGCCTTTGGTTAAGGAGCGCAGCCTCTGCAAAGCCATGGCTTGGAAGGGAGTGAGCTCACAGAATACTCAACCGCTCTCTCCTGCTCTTTGATCTACTGGGGACTTCAAATGACCAAACCTCCAGAGCAAGAGGAGGCCAGCTTCCTAAAGGGCAGATAGCAGAGGCAGAAGGGTGGAGGGAAGGTCTTGAGGGAGAAAAAAAAAGAGTATCTACTAACCTATCATGTATAGCAGCACCACCTAACAGTAGACAGCACTTATATCAGTCTTGCTACTGCTGCCTATGAATGGCTAACTTGTCAGCAATAGACTAAACAAGGTACTCAGGGAGACCAACTGGCCACCTGGTGGCAAACCAACCACTTTGGATTCCCTTCCTCCTGGAAGGGCCAGGTTTGTCCCTCACAGGGATAACACCAGGCCTGGGCTTGTCTTTCCTGCCTGCAGAGTCTCAGCCAGCATCACTATCCTTACGGAATGCCCAACCCACGGGTACAGGATCTCACACATGACCACACCCAACCAGGGCACCCACTTTACAGTAAATGTGTGGGGGGTGAGCCCATGGACCAAGGAATCCACTGGTTGTATTGCACCCTGCACTGGTCAGGAGCAACCAGCCACACAGAATACTGGAAATGCCTTCTGAAGGCACAGATGAAGCACCAGCTCAGAGGCCATTCCCTGAAGGATGCAGTGTCATCTCTCAGGATGTAGTGTATGCATTAAATCAGGAACCTCTCTATGATGCTGTGTTCCCAGTAAGAATACTTGGGAAACCAGGGATAGAATACTCCAGGAACCCAGGGGTAGAAGCACTAGCTATCCCTCCCCATGACCTCATGGGGAGTTGTGCTTGCTATTCCAACCAGGTTCAAGAGGGTTGGAGGTCCTAGTTCTCAAAGGGTTTACATTCTTGCCAGGAGACACAGTAGGGGTTCCATTAAACTACAAGCTATGGCTGCCACCCAGGGCACTTTGAACTCTGTATATAGGGACCTGAAATCAAGAAGACACCATTTGGCAGAGGCAACTGACCCTAATGAGGAGAAAGTCCCATTAATTTGGCATCATCATTCAGCTTTTATCCAATGCGGGCAGGAAAGAATAGGCTGGGCACCTCATGATACTCCTTTGCCCCACTGCAACTGGAACAAAAACGTGTAGCATCCCTGGCCTGACGATTGACAAATGCTCAGACTCTTGGAGATAAAAGGAGCATAATAAAATATTTTCTAAAATAGGGATTACTTGGGTCAGACGGGGTTGACAACCACTAAAGAAGTAATGTTAATAATGAAAAGGTTCAAATATGTTTAAACTGCTGTTCAAGAAGGCATGGCTATGTAACCCAGTTTATAAAAATTTTCAGCAGAAAATTGTTTAAATTAAGCCACAAGGTTTAAAGTGATAGCAAAGGGTTTGTTTGTTTTTTAAGGCAATGTAATTTTAAAATGATTTTTTAAAAAGGCAATGTTAAAAAAGGCACCAGGTTTTGATTCAATGCCTAGATTCTAGTTCTGGCTCCCCTCATATCTCACAGGATAAACTGAAACAAGCTATAGATCCTCACTTTTTATTTACCTTCTTTTTTTAGACATGGGGTTCTCACTATATTGCCCAGGCCAGTCTTGAACTCCTGGAGTCAAGCAATCCTTCTGCCTTGGCCTCCCAAATGCTGGGATTACAAATGTGAGCCACCATGCCTGGCCACCTTTTAGTTTTTAAAACAGATATTGACATGGACCAGATTTACTATCCTACTATTTGAAACAAATAAAAAGCCAAGAAAACTGTATAAACATCAGTTTTTGAGACACGAGACAACAGGAAACAAAGATCAGTGATTCTTGGGAGATGGGAGACAAAGTGAACCCAAGGATTGCCATAGATTCCTACTCTGGAGAGATTTTCCAGGACACAATGCAGGTAGAGCCAGTGGAAGGTAAAGAGAGAGAGCTGAGTCCAGGGAGGCCAAAGGAGTTAGAATTTGCAGAGAGGGGAGAGCTGCACAGAGAACAAGAGATCTGCAACTAGTCCCTCTGAAGCCTTCACCTGAGGACTCATCAACATGCGTGTGTGAGGAACCAACCTGAGGCCAGGACGGAATAACCCAAAAGGATTAGACTCTAATAATTGGCAAATACAAACCCCACAGCTCACACAAAGCCAGACATAGTTCTTCCTACCAACCAGTATGGAAAATCTGATAACTCAGAGAACATTGGGTACTCAAAAAGCTTTTGTATCAGTAGTGGGGAAATAACTAGCCCTAGACTAAATGCTGCCCTGGTCCTGTCTAACAA